AAAAAAAAAAAAATAATATCGTGGTTTCACAGTGCACACGGAGAGAAAAATATTTTAACACTTATTGATCACTGAAACGTTAAATAGGTATATTATATTATTTGTGAAATCGGTCACGTAGGAGTGTACTCAAAATTCAGTTAACTTCACAAAGCTGACGGAGCACATCACTATAAAATCGGCAGAAGATCCGCGTCAACCTAAGATTAAAACCACGGCTACCACAGGATATACTACTCTCACCCAAAGAAGACACCTCAGATTCAGACACGGATCTGGACATATAATTATCCAAAAATTAGTAAAAATTGTAAAAAATTGAAAATTGTAAATACTATATTACTATGTAAACATATAATCAAAATTTGTAAATTTATGACTTTGTAAAAATACTCGGTGTATTGACACAATAAAATTAATAATTAAAAAAAAAATCAGTTACACGCGTTTTAAATAAGTAGGTAGATACAGTGTACATTTTGTAGTATTTTAATTCAAATTTTTAGATAATAAACATAATTTTCATTTAAACTTTGATTTACTTTGATTAGAATACTAAATAGTATAGAAAAATCTATATTCGTACATCACTACGCTGTATATATAATATATTTTCTATTACTATATTTTGTACTGTTAGGAATTACATTTTAAATATAGACTGTAATCTGCATTTTTATAGCTACTCACCAAGAACCCATAGTGCTTTAGTATGTCCATTTTGCACATTGGGCAAGTTCGGTGCTCTAACAGCCAAGGATCTACACAGCTTTTGTGGAATTCATGTCGGCATGGTAGTATTCGAACTACCTCGGACGGTTTGTATGGTTCAATACACACTGCACAACAGTCCCCATCACCAACGATCTCCTGTAAAACGATGAGTAATTCAGTAACATTATTTCATAATTAATTTAAAAATTCACATACAATATACAAAAAAGGGTTCATAAAAGGTTATACAATGCCTCACCTTATTTCAAAATACATTTGTTGAAACTATTTTTTTTTAGTCTTTAGTTCGTCGATTCAGGTTTTTTTTTTATGTATTATCTATTATTTAACTATCGTTTAACATTACAGTTAACGAGTAATGCAATATAACAATTTAATTTAACACCTTACAGTATGATATATGTTGCAGAGCTTTAAGAATATTAAACATGTACTTTTATGGTGCTCTTCAAATGGATTTTTGCAACTTCATACTTATCTATATCTTATATTTATAGTATATTTACTATTATACTGCCACATATAATATAGGTATAACTATKTTGTAAATAAAATTTAAATGAATAGTTTTAAAACATTATGAGTTATAACGCGATATAAAAATTAATATTATATCAATTAATATTTAAAAATGTAATTTTTATTTGTTAATGAAGCCAAATTTATTGGCTGTAAAGTTTTTATACTAGCAATTTGATAATTGATAAATTATGAATCATAATTTATGATATTAGTAGCTCAACAATCAAAATATTTATATTTAACTGATATTTGTATTCTTCTTCTCTCGAGCTTGCTTTCATAATTTATATAGATTTACATTGTAATAATCCATTTTAAGTCATACGTTTTCACCGAAGCATTTGCAATTTACATATAGACTATAATAGTATACAAATAAATATAGGTATGTTAGACGTAGATCTACAGCCTACAGGACATATTTCAATATTTATTGAATATTGTTATCTAGACACGGTGTTAGGTACATTTCACAAGTTGTCTATTGTCTAAGTATATACGTAAATATTAGTTTTATTGGCAAAATATTGAAATTATTTACATAATTCGTTCCAGAAATCTAATGGTTAAATAAATATATGTGCTAATATTATCTTAGCTAACTGGACGCGTAAATAGTTTACGTGAATTTACTTAACTTTACCTTGTCATCCATTTTGATGTGCTTGGTAGGTATCTTGGACAACGCTTTTTTGGCTGCGTTGCATAATCGTCTCTAAAAATTAAAACACAGACATAGGTACATGATTATTTTTTATTAGTGGATACTAATATATAGTGTATATAACTCAGCTAAATGCTTGTAAAGTTTATTTTTGATTTTTGTTTATCGCCGTTCATGACATACAATAAAATACGATGGTAAATAGAACAGGTCGAATGTTCATTGTATAAATAATGATTGTTATTGTTATTTAATCAACTATAAAATTGTATTCATTTTAACACTTTTTTCATATCTATTAGTTAGCCTTATGGTGGACGGTGGACGTATATTCTCACTCATGTCTTCTGTAGTCTGAACAACGCATTCATATAATATATAATAATATATACATAATATAATTTATACATTGGTCAATCGGGTATAATATGCATTTAATGTACCTGCTACTTCCACTTTCACTTCCTCATTTCTCGGTACATATAGGTTTGTTTCGTTTTCGTAGATACTCAACATTATTTTTTTTTACTCTCATACAATAATATATACATGACACATCATTATAATATATACGCATGCGTTAGTACCTGCGTCTAACAATATACGTCATATTGCAATTGCACAATGTTTGTTTTAGTTTGAAAAACATTTTCTCCTAAACGTAAACACTGGTAATTATTGATCATTGAATATTATTATAATTTTACTTTTTAGATTCTTAATGAAGCGAAGATTATATAAGCTAGTTTCATAACAATGGATTTAATTTTTTTTTCGTAAACTTTAGAATTATAGGGTAAAAACAGTCCTTTAAAGTTTCAAGTTAAGTAATCTCAACTATTWGTTGATAAGTCCTTAACTATCTATCAATTGAAAGTCGAATCAATTTGTTATTTGGCTGTTTATCTAAGCGTAAAAAAAGTTACAAAGTTTAAAAGAAATCGAGAAAGGTTCAAGCAAGTGTTTTTACGTCCAAAATAGTTCTWAATTTATGATTTATCATTGATTTAATTTACCGAAACACAAAATATGTAGCATTCCTAGCTGTTTCAGTAAGTCAATTGTACTCAAATAATACGTTTTTTTAATTAAGGGTTATAAAAGTTTAAATATCATATATTTATATTTTATTTTAGTGATGAACTTACCGATAATTGGTCTTTAGCGTGTATATACCGGAACCTTTGTATGTAGTAGAATACAAGCCATGCCAAAGATATGACCATAAGCACTATGAATGATATGCTTACAAATAATACGGAAGTCCTGAAAAATAAATACCAAATTTTATATTTACTAACAATGATTAGGTAATAAATTTTATTTAGTTTACAATATTCACGAATAAACATAGTAACTCATTAATTCATGATATATCGTTTTTAATATAAAAGGTTTTATTTAAACCAAGTCATACAACTTAAAATATCATTCAAATGTTTTAACAACTAGACCGTGTAAATGAGGCATTACTASCTAGTTAACTATTATACAATAATGAATTGTGAATTAATTACATTATTATATAGATTATAGATTATTATTTGAAATTAGTTTGAAATTTTAAATTATTTGATAAAAATATAGGTAAGTTAGTATAGTTTTACAGTTATTTTTCGCATGGAAATATTCAAAATTTAAATGTGTTATTATGAATACAAAGGAATTTTGTTTTAATTCATCAAATTATTATTGAGTATTAATGTAAAATGTGTRCTTATAATTCTCATTTGAAATCGTTATTTGTGCTATTGATAAATATATATGTATAAGATTTGAATTTAAAATTATAAAGTTAAAAGGAAAAATCATACTTACCAAAGAATTAATTAAATTTTGAAACATATGTAATATTATGATTATATGAATCATGCAATCCATGTGTTATCAATTCAAAGAATAATTTAATGCGATTTTAAAAATGTTATTTAGAATTAAAATAATTATACATTTGTATGAAAAATTTTAAAATTAGGAGAAATGAATTGGTTATTTAATATTTTTTTTCATATATTCATAATAAGTGAAAAAAATAGCTAATTTAATATTTTTAAACGAATTGTGTGGAGTCCAGAGACCATGGCTTTAGTATTTAATACAAGTATAACTCGATCATAGATATCACTAGTTAGAGATAATAATGTATTATTATTATGTTAATTAGATACAA